TGATCAAGAATATATATATTTTGTGGGGTCTAAAATGTATGTTTCGAGGTGTTACAAACCGAATGAAAAACTTAACATACCCTGGTATGTGGAGGTATAAAAATTTATGGAAGGATCAATGGATCTATGTTTGTAGAATTTACTAAAGATCTTCCGTCTATAGAGAACATATGGAAGATCTTCAAACTGTCAAACAGTCTGTCCGTCTGAACATATTAATGTATCACGCAATATATCGCAACTATGGCTCTAGCCTCACGAAGTTTAACATGGAGGTGTGATTTAGGTCAGATAAAAGTCTGTTGTTGGGGAAGATTACGCCTTTTCAGAATGGCGTTTGCAAAAAGAGAAAAAACTAATAAAAAGATTCTAACAATAATGTCAATATTTATATGTGTTGGGGGTATTATAAGTTTGATTGGGCCAAAAATTATGTAACACCTCGAAATATTGGTTTTCACATAGGAAAGTACATAGCTCGCCGAGCTGAGTCGATCTAGCTATGTATATCCGTCCGTCCGTCTGTCCATGTTAATTTGAATCACTCTACAGGTCGAAATAATGGCCCGATCTTCACGAAATTTAGAATGGAGGTGGGGTCTGGGCCAGAATAGAACCCTATTGCTTTTTGAGATGATCGCATAATATTTAAGGGTTGAAATGGACCAAAAACTGAAAAATTTGCTGATTTTGCAGTTGCTCTACCGGTCGCAGTTATAGACCAATCGACGCGGAAGTTAGCATGGGGCTAGAGCTTAGCGCTGGCCAGAAGTCTTCGAATTTTGATGGTCATCGGGTAATATTTAGTGGGTGAAATAGACCATAGCATTTGTGTTAAATAAAAGTCACATTTTCCATTAAACCGCGAATATCTTTAATCCCGTCGAAATCACAATAGATAAAGGGCTCAATTCTGACCGTTACGTAGATGCCGATAGTAAATATATCTGATATATATCGGGAAATATATACAATGTAAATACACAATGGAAGGGGATGTTAGCTAGAATGCATATATCTCAAAAATGGCTGAACCGATTTCGACAAATTTTGTCAATTCAGAATGCCCACATAGAAATGTGCCAATAATGGTATTATTATAGATTTTGTAGTATTTTATTAAATTCTTTTATTTTTTCCTATTTTTATCGCATGCGATTTTTTCAATTTGACTTATAATATTGAAGTATACATTTTGTATACATTTTGTAAAATTTTTTCACTTTACAACACGGGTTGGGGTTATTATATACAGATTGCAATTATCGTCCGATCTTCACGAATATTTTTCACAAGGGTAGGGTGAGGCTCAGAAGAGCCATTGTTTTCAAGGATGGGCGCAATATATTTAGGGGTTGAAATGGACCAAAAACTGAAAAATTTCCTGATTTTGCAGTTGCTCTACAGGTCGCAATTATGGACCAATCGAAGCGGATCTTAGCATGGGGCTAGAGCTTAGGTGTGGCTAGAAGTCTTCCAATTTTGATGGTAATCGGGTAATATTTAGTGGGTGAAATAGACCATAAGATTTGTGTGAAATAAAAGTCAAAATTCCCATTAAACCGCGAATATTTTTAATCCCGCCGAAATCACAAATAGACCAACAGGTCAATTCTGACCGTTACGTCGATGCCGATAGTAAATATATCGGATATATATAACGAAATATATACCATGTATATATACAAAGGAAGGGGATGTTAGATAGAATGCTTATATCTCAAGAATGGCTGGACCGATTTTGACAAATTTTGTCAATTCAGAATGCCCTCTTGGTATAAAAGTATAAATTCTAAAAAAAAAACGCATAAAAAGATGTCAATAATGATGTTTATATATGTTTTGTAGTATTTTGTGACATTTTTTCATATTTTTTATCGCATGCGATTTTTTCAATGTGACTTATAATATTGAAGTGTATATTTTGTAATATTTTTTCACATTACAACACCGGTTGGGGCTGTTATATACAGATTGCAATTAATGTCCGATGCTCACGAAAATTTTCAAAAGGGTAAGGCTCAGAAGGGATAGGCCTATTGGTTTTAAAGATGTCCGCAATATATTTAGGAGTTGAAGTGGACCAACAAATAAAAATGTTCCTGATTTTGCAGTCGTTATAAAGGCTTTTTATACCCTACAACACTATGTGTTGGGGGTATTATAAGTTTGATTGGGCCAAAAATTATGTAACATCTCGAAATATTGGTTTCCCACATAGGAAAGTATATATGGATCTTCCTAGCTCGCCGAGCTGAGTCGATCTAGCTATGTATGTCCGTCCGTCCGTCTGTCCGTCCGTCCATGTTAATTTGTAAACACTCTACAGGCCGCAATTATGGCCCGATCTTCACGAAATTTAGAATGTAGGTGGGGTTGAGGTCAGAATAGAACCCTATTTCTTTAGGAGATGATCGCCAAATGTTTAGGGGTTGAAATGGACCAAATACTGAAAAAATGTCGGATTTTGCAGTAGCTATACAGGTCGCAATTATAGACCAATCGATTTCTCATATAGCTAGAGTTTAGGGCAGGGAAGAAGCCTACCAATTTTGGTGGTCATCGGATAATATTTAGCGGGTAAAATAGACCATATCTTTAGTGTTGAAAAAATTCAAAAGTTTTCATTAAACCGCGAATATTTTAAATTCCGGCTAAATCACAAAGCCATGACAAGGCTACTTCTGATCTTTACATTGATGTTAACATCCAACAAATCGGATATATAGCAAAATATGTGCGATATATGTGTCTATCAAAGAGGATATGCTTGAAAGATCTCTTATATGTCGAGAACGGCTGAACTGATTTCGACAGTTCTCATTAATTCAGAATGGCCTCTTGGCAGGAAAGGAAAAACTTCTAAAAAAATCGCATAAAAATATCTCTCTATAGATGAAAATATTGATTTTGTAAATTTTCTCATATTTTTTCAATTTTGTCATATTTTTGGCACATTTTCATTTTGAATTAAACATTTGGTAATATTTCTACAGCTAACAAAACTAAGTAGTTAGGATATCAGGATATCATATACAGATCGCATTTATGGCCCGATCCTTACGAAATTTTGCATGGGGATAAGATGAGGGTCAGAATAGAAGCCTACTCTTTTTGGAGATGATCGCCATATATATAGGGGTTGAAATGGACCAAAAAACTGCAAAATGTGTCAACAGGTCGTAATTATTGCCCGATCCTGACGCACATTTGGATGGGGGGTTACCGGACATTGCAAAAGCCAAGCAGTTTTGGATGGCCATCCCAAAAATATTCAATGTGTGAAATTGTTTGCCAACTTTTGTAGACAAAATACGAAAATGTCCATTCCGGTGACTTTTTGGGGCCTCTTGCTTTTGGAGATGATCGCAAAATATTTAGGCATTCAAATGTACCAAAAACAGAATAAAATTCCTGATCACAAAGTTGAAGCCAATCGACCCGCCTGAGAAGAGAGTTAAGGACAGGGGAGAATTCTTGCATTTTTGATGACCATTGGATTATATTCTATATTTTAGGATGACCATTGGATTATATTCTATATTTTATATAAACCACAACAACTAACAGCACGACGCACTATGTCGCGAGTTCATACAAACGGCGGCCAAAAATAGAAAGAGTTGTCGTAGGTGGATGAAATTTTGTACAGATGCTTATTATTGGGCTAAAAAGCAAATTACAAAAATTTGGATAGATTGGACCAAAATTCGGTATACCTCCCATATATAGGGTCTTCCAAATTTCACTCTTTTAGCCTATAAAATCGTTAATATTCAACCAAATTTGATGAAAATTGGCATGTAACTTCTAATTGGGCCTGTAAAACAGTTGACAAAAAATTGGATTGATCGGACCATGATTTGGTATACCTCCCATACAATGGGTCTTGAAAAATTCTCTCTTTTGGGATATAAAAACGAATGTATTAACCCAAATTCGACGAAAATCTGCAGTTTACTTCTAATTTGGGCTATAAAACAAGTGACAAAAAATTGAATTGATCGGACCATGATTTGGTATACCTCCCATACAATGGGGCTTGAAAATTTCGATTTGTTGGCCTATGAAATCGTATGTATTCAACCATATTAAATGAATATTTGCATTTTACTTCTTATTTAGTGAAATATTAAAATTGTCTGTAGGTTTACGTTTCAGAGTATTTTATATTACAAAACCCTCTTTTCAATAAAACACGTTTTATTCGTATTTAATTTTTATTAATAACATAAGCTTTGAAATACACTATTCACTACATACCTCACTGCAATCATCAGATTCATCTTCTGAACATATTTCCGGAATATTTAAGTTATTTTCTTCACAAATATATGATTTAATGTCTTCCATGTTATAATTTCGGGCCAATATATTATGACTGTTCAAGGATATTACAGGGTCCGATTGTAGTATCAAATACTGAATTAAATCCCTATTTGACTCGACTCTACCACATTTTCGGGTGTGTTTCAAACGGTTGCTCCTAATTATTTTATGGCATGACTCGATAGCCTCTTCCGAAAGCAGTCCAAGAGGGGATGTACTGTACCTTACATATCCAATGCCATGAACTAAAATTTTATGCACCGTGACTGGCATGTAATACCAAGAGTATAAGTCGATGTAAAGTTGCCATGTATCTTTAAGAAGCTTATGAAATAAATTTATATTTATAAATCTCCCACAAGACAAAATCCGCAAAATGAGGGAAAAATTGTAAATTAATCTTCTGTCGACCCCGGTAATATCTGCCGCTACTTCAATGTTTGAAAAAAAACGTCGAGCTGTATTTCCATCATTTGATGTCCCGTAGCCCGGTTTTATTTTGTCGACAAGAAGACCTAGATTTGTTTTTAATGCTCTTCGTATCCTGATTTTATTTTCATTCACTAATATTGTGTTTCTACTATCAATTCGCCATGTCTTGACAGGTAGTTTATATGCAATATGAACAATGCACTCAAAAAACTTAATCCAGGCGTGTAAACTAGATATACCGTTCCTATAACACTCTTCGTTGACTTCTCTTTGGTATATAGATTCATCATTCATTTGTGAAGGCTTGGCGCCACATAAAACACAGGTTGCACAACTTTTATTGCCATACAATACATTTAATACAGCTCCGTCAATCATTGTTAGTTTCATGCGATGAGAAATCATAATTTCATAACTGTTATCAATGTATACACAAGCATCCAAATCTGCTATTTCTTTCTCTATGTTTTCTTTGACTTCATTTATAGTCTGTGAATTTTCCTTTGTAAAAAGTATTTTAATAGGTCTACATAGCCTTGAAGATGAGTGCCTGTCGTTCTGCCACAAGACATTTTCGTTTGTATGATCTAAAATACGCAAGGGCACAAATGAAGAAACGAACATAAATTCATCTGTTGCGTCTTCGTTTCGAAATTTTTGTTTATAGAGGCTATGACCACTGCTGCCATCAAATCCCCATTTACATTCTAAAGTTATATTATTTTTCGGACAAATTTGTAGTTTAGTTAGAATGCTCTTCGCGGTATTATCCAAAAGTGTTTGTAGAGGTACATTCATTGATGTTTCCGTCACTTCTATATTTTCTGGAATCAATTTTTTCTTAGCTTCTGCTATAGCATAATACGATGGGAAACAATTTTTATGTATAGCATTTACAGCATTTCTCATCATGTTATACTGTCTAACTGATAAATCCATATCCACGTAGAGCGCCAATGCTTTTTCCACTGAAATAATGTCCGTTTCCTTTACATTCGAAAATCTTTTTGCAGCTGTTGTTATGATGTCCGCCGAAGTAGATGCAACAAGTTCACCTACACGTCGCCTTTTTGTTCTACATGAACTTTCCTCAAAGTTAATGCGTGGTCGACCTCTTGATGTAGACTTATCAGGTTCCTAAATATTTAAAAGTTTTTAAATAATTGGTTTAATAAAAATAATCTTCAAATGTACCGAATCAAATTTAAACGTATCCATAAGAAACCAATCTTTTAAGACCATTTCTACTTTATCCCTCTTTCGATAGTATTTTTTCCACGTAGAAGACAATTTGTAGCAAATATTTTTAACCTTTATGTGTTCTTCGCCCGTCATTTTCCTTCCAATTCGATCCTCAATAAATTCTTTAAGTTTTGCCAGAACATATGACATACTTTGATCCTTTACTTCTAACCATTCCAAAAATATGTCACAGTTTTTTAAAGAGGTGGTCACTAAAAAAAGCAAATAACTCTTAGGACCGCAGGTTTCCGCAGCTAATTTTTTTATAGGTTAAAAATACATACTTTTCACAACTAAAATCAACAAAAATGTAGACTAAACTTTTTTAACCTTTTTTTTCTACTCCACTAATTTCAAGATTTGCTTTACAAAATAGATGAACTAAGTACAACAGGTGTTTGTAACTGTAAACACCATATGATCACTATTTACACCCAAACAAAGGTGAAGCCAAGTTTTTGACATCCCAAGTAACTAAAATAAACACTTTTTTTATAACCGTTACTTTTAATATTCAAATTTTTGAACATATGAAAAAAGTGTCAATTTTCCGAAAAAAATAGAAAAATGCCGATTGCCAAAAACTATCAGATTTGAACCCTCGTACAGGCAAAACTACTTGACGTATCACTACCAAAATTCATATTATTCCTAACTGGAATGTTTTCTATCAATTCTCATCAATAAATTTGTGCTCTTATGTACTTGGTTTTTACCATTTTTGGCCGCGGTCGTGACACTGTGCGACGGAGTGCGTAAATATTGAGCAAATGTCCCTGGTAAAAAATGCAAAGGGTAATATCTGGGCAGATTCAAAAGCGGAATCTTCCGAAATAGATTTGGACATAAGGAGGCTTCTAATATATTGTAGTGTTGTAGGGTATCACATGGTCGGCCCCGCACGACCATAGCCTTTGCTTACTTGTTTTTTTTTTTTACAAAATACTACAAAATCTATATCTATCTACATACATTTTGCAATTTTATGCGATTTTTTTAGATTTTATTCTTTTATGTCAAGAGGGCATTCTAAATTGACAAAATTTGTCAAAATCGGTGCAGCCATTCTTGAGATATAAGCCTTCCAGCTAACATCCCCTTCCTTTGTATATACACATTGTACATATTTCGCTTTATATATCCGAAATATTTACTATCGGCATCTACGTAACGGTCAGAATTCACCTGTTCGTCTATTTGTGATTTCGCCGGTATTAAAAATATTCGCGGTTTAATGGAAAATTTTACTTTTATTTAACACAAATGTTGTGGCCTATTTAACCCCTAAATATTACCCGATGACCATCAAAATAACACATAGTGTTGTAGGGTATAAATATGACCAAAATACCTTTAATCTTTTTGGAACAGTTATATGGGGGACACACAGATGGACACGATTAACTCGACATATAATCTTATGCTGATCAAGAAAATATATATAGTTTAAAGGGCTGGTTGCAAACGGAATGACAAAATTAATATATTCTCCATACTATGGTGGTGGGTGTAAAAACAGTTTTGGTACGATTACCAATTTGCTAGGACTTATCTGTTTTTGTTCATTACCTGTGGTACTATAAAGAAACTTATACGATTTTTGTAATGCAATGATTGGTTCGCTGTATCTAGTAATTTCACGGTTCTGCTTCTTCTTGATCGCTGACAAACAATAATTCAACCATTTGATTGTCTTAAAAATGATCATAGTCAAAGGCGATTCGAGTTGTACAATATTTGACATATTTTTTACTTTTCTTACCTTTGTAGTAGAAAATACATGATTTATACTATTATTTTACCTCGTCAAACCACCAGTGACCCTCATTCCGTAAATATCAAAACACAGCACTAAGTACTTTTAATTCGAATTGTTTCTTATCTCACCTTTACATACCAGTTTTTATCCACACACAGAATTTGCAAACTTATTGTTCTATAAGATTCACCTGACCATCAATATGTCATTTAGATATATAAAAATCCTCCCCCTCTGAACTAGGTGAACCCACCACATAACCTTATTAAAATTGCCTAACCATAATTTTTATCACACCATACTGGCAAATAGACCCTTTGTACATCTGTTAGATTTTTTACACATGGCAACTTCTACCCCTCTCCAACTTCGCCATTACCAGCGCATTTGTAATGAAATTGTGTTGCAATATATTTTCGTTACAGAAACAAACTCGTATTTTACTATTACTGCATATCAAGTGAAAGAGATACAATTTTTGTTGCTGCTGCTGTTGTTGTTGTTGCTACCTTCCACCTTGCGTTTGCTCTCACATTGTTGTGTATGTGTGTATTTCCACTTCCGCTCTATTTACTTCCACCTTGTGAAACGGATGTTTCTCCGTTTGGTGCGTACGTTTTTCGGCACTAAATGTCATCTCAAGGGAAATAAAAAGTTACAAAACATTGAGTGACTGACTGCGTTTGATGTCATTTAAAAGCGACATAAAGCCAAAATAACCGAAACAAACGACAAACGAAAAAAGAATACTGGAAGGAATTGTAACAGATGAGAAAACTGCTTAGAATGCAATGTGGTTTAGAATGATTTGGTGTGGATCATAGAAAAATTATGTACTTTTTTGTGAATGATATAAGCTCCAGAGGACGAAATTAGCAAAAGAAATGGGGTCCTAAGAATTCAATTGTAGGATTGAATGCGTCATCAAGGCCCGAGCGAAACTGTTAGAGTTTAAAATTTGTTTAAATTTTATGTGAAGTACATGGGCACAAATGAAATCTTTCTGTTTTAGTACCAAAAATTGCAAATTAAAACTAATTAATACTTTAATTTATTTCCAAAACATAAAGAATGGCGTTTAAATTGGGGAATATTTTCTACATTCGATTTCAATTAAGAAATGGGATGGTTTTTTTCAAAGGATTCCAAATCTTTACCAAGGAAAGTTTTAATTTGACCTGGCGGTCAATGTGAGGTTACATTTTTTTAATGAAGACAATTTAGTATATTTTGAATACGTAGTCCCAATTGGAGTTTTAAAATTTCTACAGTTCCAATAAGAGTTTTCATTAATTTTTCTCAAAAAATAGATATGGCGCCCAATCTGGGATTCCCTTTTAAATGTACTTTTAAAGATTATTGAAAACTGAACTTTTTGGCACCAAAAAAGGCAAAGAGTTTAGAAAAAGGTGTAAGAAGTTTTGTATGAGAAATGTATACTGCATTGCAGAATTGGCTACCAAATGCAATTCTGAATGTCTCTGCGAAGAGTAATCGGCCTAAAAAATTTACTAGAAATTACACTTAACACTGTAGCTGTGCTGTAGTCTATTAGAAACCAAAAATCCAACTTTTTGCCAATAAATAATAGGAGTAGTATAGCTATAGCAAGAATTCTAAATGTGGTTGTATTTGAAATAGGCAATAAAACGAAAGTAAACGTTATGAGGGCAAATTTGTTGTCCCAGGTACCAAAAATAATTTACAAAATATCAGTCACTTAGCTGACAGATATATACCCTCAGCATATGATTTGATGCAAGTTTTGTTTATTTTTTCAATTTTTATAGGGATGATATGATAGAAGATGACTGAAAATCTCAGACTTTACTTTGAAGTCAGATTTTATACGTCCTGAAACTGAGAAATGGGACAGTTACATTTGTTACTTAGCAAAGGAATGTACTCTTGGGAAGCATATCATAAGTTATCATAAAGAGAGATATTTTAGCTTTAGTCATGTTGTCAAAACTGGTCTAAACGTCTCACGTCTAAACATCTCATATCGGATAAAGATATATATGGGAGCTATATCCTAATCTAAAAAGATCTCGATAAAATTTGAAAGAGATATTTTTGAGCAGTAACTGATGTCCGGTACCAAATATCTTTCTCCTGCAGTGCATATTACGCATTTGAGAGACTTAAAACTCCAAATCGTATGAAACATATATATGGGAGCTATAGCTATATCTGAACGGATTTTCATTAACATGATTAACTTGCTGCTAGACTGAATTCGGTGGGATGCACCGAAATACAGGTCATTTGGACTTATATTGGCCATTTGGTGTAAATTTAACCCGAAATCGGTTGTAGACATATGGGAGCTATATCTTTAAAGGACTAAATACGCCGAAGCATTTGTATCTTTTAAATTCGGACATGTATTGCCTTTTGGTGCACAATTAATTTGAAATCGTACAAAAATATTTATGGGAGCTATATCCAAATCGGAACCGATTTCCATAAAATCGGAACCGATTCCATACAATTTGGCAAAGATATTTCTGAGCGGTATTTGATATATTTCCCTGAATATCGTTGTTACAGAGTGCATATTACGGCTGTGGGTAACAAATATAACAAATCGGATGAACAATATATATGGTAGCTATAGCTATATCTGAACCGATCTTCACCAAATTTGGCATACTACCTTCTAGACTCAATTTGGTCGTATGTGCCAAATTCCATCCCATTTGGGCAAATATTAGACGTTTGGTGCACAATAAATGTAAATCGGACGAAGTTATATATTGGAGTTATATCCAAATCTGAACCGATCTGGATAAAATTTAGCAAAGGTATTTCTGAGCTGCATTTGATATATTTCCCCAAATATTGTTGTTGCAGAGTGCGTATTACGGCTGCGGAGGGCAAAAATAACAAATCGGATGGACAATATATATGGGAGCTATAGCTATATCTGAACCGATTTCGATTAAATTTCGATTATTTTTGATTATTTTCAGGCCTAATTTGGTTGTATGTGCAAAATTCCATACTATTGATATTACACGTTTGGTGCACAATAAAAGGCAAATCGGACGAAAATATATATGGGAGCTATATCTAAATCTGATCCGATTATCACCAATTTCAATTATGCCAAACAAATATTGTTTGCAAAATTTCATCTCAATCGGATAATAAATGCGACCTGTATTTTGTTCACAAGAATACATGACGTACTGACATGCATAAATCGACTCAGAAAGTAATTCTATGAAGATCCTCAAAAGTAACTATGGGTATATCTCGTTTCCTTCTCCATATTGCAAACAAATGCACAAAGACATAATAAATTACCACTATGTGGTGTAGGGTATAACAATTAATTGTCTTACAAACGAACTATGCTTGCTAGTCATTGAATTTTATTTACCCGAGGTCGGTCCGAAATTGGTGAGACTGCACTAATATCCCTCCCCAATTAACTATGGATATCCATTCTGTCCGACTTCGGTTCGAAAGTCCGCGTAAACTCCAAACTTTCACCCGACCCTTTTGTTCGACAACACGTCAACCACTTCATATAGCTTTCGGTCAGAAGTCGGACCGAATTCGAATCCGAAATCGGAAGATTCTTACGACTTTCGGTTCGGAGCCGGACCGAACTCGGTCAGTTTGGTTCGCTGGGTTCAGACAAGTTCGCTTCAATAGACGCATTGGAAGACAGCATTGAAGCATTTATTATTGAGATACCGGCCCAAAGGGTTAGAAGGAGTATATCAAAATTGGACTAAGCGGATAGACCATTTGAAGTGCAGTTGCGGTCAACATTTTCATGAAAAAATCTTCAAAGACTAAATTATATAGCCTAGCAATATTTCATGATTTTTTTTTAATTTTTTATTTTATTTTATTTTTTTTTTTTTTTGAGAATCACTCTTTTTTTATGAATTCTAGTGAAATCGGTAGGAAAAAAACGGACAGA